AGATGACTTAGATCCTTGCATTGCTGGGAAGGGTTAAGTTTATCAATATTAGTATTGTACAATGTGGCTGTTACTGTATACAACATTCTCTTGGTTCTGCTCATTTCATTCAACATCAGACCATACAAGTCTTTCCAGGTTTTTCTGAAGTCAGCCTGATCATCACTTCTTATAGCACATTCGTATATCACAACTCGCTCAGCCATTCCCCAATTGACGGGCATCCTCTCAATTTCCAATTCTTTGCCACCACAAAAAGAGCTGCTATGAATATTTTTGTACATGTGGGTCCTTTTCCCATTTGTTTGATCTCTTTGGGATACAGCCCTAGAAGTGCTATTGCTGGGTCAAAGGGTATACACATTTTTATAGCTCTTTGGGCATAGTTCCAAATTGCTCTCCAAAATGGCTGGATCATTTCACAACTCCACCAACAATGCATTAGTGTTCCAATTTCCCCACATCTTCTCCAACATTTATCATTTTCCTGTTTTGTCATGTTGGCCAATCTGATAGGTGTGATGTGGTACCTCAGAGTTGTTTTGATTTGCATTTCTCTAATCAATAATGATATAGAGCATTTTTTCATATGACTATAGATGGTTTTAATTTCTTCATCTGAGAACTGTCTGTTCATATCCTTTGACCATTTATCAATTGGGGAATGAATTGTATTCTTATAAATTTGACTTAATTCTCCACATATTTTAGAAATGAGGCCCTTATCAGAGAGACTGCTTGTAAAAATTCTTTCCCAATTTTCTACCTTCCTTCTAATCTTAGTTGCATTGAGAACTATGTTTTTAAATGCATAAAATACACAGGACTGCAAAAAAGATCAGAGAAAATAAAGATGTAACTGTTTCCCCATCCAAGTTCAACTGACCTGAAATCTATTTAAGGGTTAAAACCCCCACCCCTACCCCACCCTGGTCTTGGAGAGCTGCCAAAAGGGGTTAAGTGCCTGGCCCAGTCCTCCAGCGAGTGTATGTCTCTATCTGAACTTGAACCCAGGTCTTTCTGGCTTGCCTTCCTTCTGCTCCAAGATTCTGCTACTAGGAGAAAGCCACATGTACAAGGATAAGTTTGCAGACGATTGAGGAGGCTTTTCCAAAGAAGGCACATGAGCTTAAACCCTGAAAAGCAGGGGAGGGGAGGGACTGCATTCTGACCAGGAGGGACAGAACTGGGAGGAGGTGCCCAGACCTACAGACCCTACTACCTCCCCAGTGCCAGGTTGGCTTTTGTCTTCTGACCTTCAGTTCTCCCTCCTCACTGGGCTGGATTAGTCAACAAGCATTTATGAAGTGCCCTCACGTGCTCAGAACTGGGCTAGATGCTGGATGATCTTTAAGGGTACTATGACTGATGACTGTTCTGTGCCTGCACCCACTCCCACCTTGCTTTTCCTGGCTCTCTGCTGACCTTTCTTCACCTTCTGCTCCACCGCCCAGCGCTCACCCCCAGACCACTCAAAGACGAGTGCAGGAGTAGGCATGGAGCTGAATTAAGACATTCTCTAAGGCCTCTTCCCAGTCTAAACCCTAAAATCCTGAACTTCCCCTCTGCCATTCAGCCACGCCACTGCCTCCCTCGGGTTCTGCTGACCTCAGACCTTTCCCCTTCAGCTCTTTGCTCTTATTTAGGGCTCTCTCTAAAACAAAAAATAGCTTGCAATAAACAAGAATAACATATTATTGTATATCCATGTAATTAACTCGTATATTAAAATATACTATATATGTAAATAAAATGTATGTGCACATATACATATATATGTGTATGTGTGTGTGTGTATGTGTGTAACAATACATAACGCCCCAGGTTCATAAAGCACTTTACATATATTATTTAACTTAAGCCTCACAACAATCCTGGTACGAAGGTACTGATCCTATTCCCATTTAACAGATAAGGAGAGGAAGGATCTTAGACCCTAAGGTTCCTTCCTGTTCTGCATCTTGTTACAGGAACGCGTGTCCCCGATTCCATCAAACCCCTCAACCTAGGTTCCCTGGTGACCAGTCTTTCCCGATTCTCCCTCAGGTTCTTGACTCCATACCTGACTGGTGTGTATGTGAACATTAGATAAAGTTGATTTAGCAATATGTACCTACACACCAGGCGATGGGGATACAAGCACAAAGCATGACATGACCCCTATTGGAAAGAAGCCCATCCCAGATACAAGTACCTGCTTCCAACACTGCCCTCATCTCAGGTTTGCCGGTGACCTATGACCTTCAAGTCTCCCCCTTCCCCCCCCAGATCTCTTGCTCTTGTAAATTACTAGAGGTTCTCTGGGATCCCTTCCTGCTCTAAATCCTATGGCCAAGCAAACCTCCCTGGGCTGTGCTGAGAATCAAATGAAATCTATATCACAAGGAACTTTGCACACCTGAAAGCACTCCTGGCTGTTATTATTAGACATCAGGGTGTGGCGTGGCAGATAAAAGTGCTGGATTTAGAATCAGGAAGGCCAGCATCTAATTGTGCCTCTGATAGGGGTCATCGATGTGATTCTAGGCACGTTGCTTTACCCCTCTCTGACTCAGTTTCCTCATCTGTTAAGGAGCGATAACACTGCATGATGCCCCCACCTCTCCCTGCCTTCCTTTCTTTCCTCATCTGTAAAATGGAGACATTGCAGGTACCTCATTTAACGTCCAAATGAAATGCCACGCGTAAAGCACTTCACAAATCCTCACTATTATCCGTAGGCAGCCGGGATGAGTGTTGCATTTGGATCCTCTATCTTGTTTGTACACTTGTTTCTCCCACTAGACTGACAGCTCTACTGTTTTTTGCCTTTTTGTTGGTGAGGCGATCGGGGTTAAGTGACTTACCCGGGGTCACACTGTGTCAAGCGTCTGAGGCCAGATTTGAATGGTTTTTGCCTGTCTTTGTACCCCTAGCACCTGAGCACAGTGCCGCATCCACAGGAGGGGTGATTCGAGAATGCTTGTTGATTTGACTAGGCTGGGGTCAGTAACACCTGAGCGTGGAGTCTACCTCGGCCACTTACTAGCTCTGTGACCTTGGGCAAGTCACCTCCTCTCAGTCGACTTCCCCATCTGCAAATCGGGGATACTAGTAGCACCTACCTCCCGGGAACACAAGCACCGGCGTCTAAGGCAATCATAAACGGCCTCACAGATGCTGCTGTAAGCATCGTAACACCTCCTTTCCACACCACGGTAGGTTCGCTGGTGACCTGTGACCTCCAAATCTCGTCCCTCACTCCCCGGGAGTCCCCCCGCCTCCTTGGGCGCTCAGGCCGCCGAGCCTCGCAGCATACTTGCGCGCGGCCCCTCCCCCCAGGTCCGCTGGCGACCTCTGACCTCCTCCCAGGCTTTCCCCTCCCCCCAGGCCCGCCGCCCGCCACCTTTCCCGCGGAGGAGGAGCGGGCTAGGCGCGGGCCGAGCGGCGCGGAAGAGACGGAGCCCAGGCCGCCGGGGGGGGGGCAGGGGGCGTGGGCTCTCTCCCACCAACGGCTCAGCACCCGCCTCCTCTCCCTCCTCCGGGCTGGCGCTCCGGCCCCGCAGCAGCCCGCACGCTCTCCGCGCTCCGCGTCCGCCGCGCGCCGGACGGGCTCACCCGGGCCTCGCAGGCCGGGGGTGGGGTGGGGGCGGAGGTGGCGGTGGTAGCGCCTGCCCTGACGTGCTCCCCCCCCCCTCGGGAGCAGGTGGAGGCGTCCGGCGCGAGCTCTCCCCTCTCAAACACTCCCCCCCTCCAGCCTCGAGCTGGCGCCGGGACCTGCCGGGCGCAGCTGTCTTAAAGGGGCCGGGGCAGGTGGTGCACCTGGCGCTGAGCAGGGAGGCTCGGTGGCAGGTCCGTCCACCGCCCTGCAGGTGGTGCCCTGCAACCCCACCTTCTTGGGGCGATAAGAATTGAGTGGTAGATTTAAAGCTGGAGGGGGTCTTGGAGATCATCTCCCCTCCTCCTCCTTCCGGACTCTGGTGCAAGGAAAGTTTGGGCGCATCAGGAATCTTGGCAACTTTCTGCCTTAGACTATTGCAGTTCCCCCCTGGCTTCTTGCACCCCCTGAAAGTTCCCAGGAGGTTCCTCTTGCTCTCCCCCTCCCCATTCTTTACTTTGGGAGTGGGAGTGGGGGGTGGAGCGGGGGTCCCTCCCGCCCTCGCCTGCAAGAAGCTGCTAGCAGGCGCTCCCGGGAGAGGCTGAGGGTGGGGGCGGGGGGGGACTGCTGGGAAATGCGGCAATCCCCTTGACCCTGCCCCAGAGCTGACCCTGCCCAGCACACACACCCCCTTCTGCCCACTGCGCATGCTCCCAGACTGGACAGCTCCTGAGAGGGAAATTTGAAAACGGTTGGGAGGCTGATCGTGCAAAGCCGGGTGTGCAAGAGCGAGCGAGCGGGCGAGCGAGAGCGGAGGGGGATTCCCTTAGAGGCCACAGAGGTGCAGCCGCAGCCGCCGCCCAGCTCGCTATCAGGTACAGCCTTTTGCCACGTTCCCTGTGCTTGCATCCCCACGCCAGCATCTGGCCCGTGGGGCAGGTGCGGGGAAGCGGGCTCCTTTCCCGCTTGGCGAGCCCGGGTTTGCACGGCCCCGGGCGCTTTCGTGCAGACTTCTCCGGGATGCTACAGGGCGCTCCAAGGAGGGCATCTGACCCGAGCGTCTGCCTTTCTCTTTCGAGTCCGTATCATCCGCGGCGCTTTGGGAAACCTATTGGTACCATATCGTAGCTCTTTAAATGCATAGGATTTGGGGGTTGTTTTTTAGAGGCTTTTTTTTTTTGAGGGAGAAGGGTCTTTCCTGTTGGCTGTAAGTGCTCCCCCCTTGGATGCATTTCGGGCTTGCTGGAAAGAACTCCCCGCCCCAGACCGTGCCCTCGCAGGTGCCGCTGTCGCTCCGCAGAGGAGCAGGCAGTGTTTGTATTTGTCGGGATAGCAACGGGCCCCGGTGCGCCTCCAGCCTGCCTTCCCGAGCGGACGGAGCCGGCTCGCTCGTTGTTTGAGAATTCTGCGTGGGAACCGCGTATACTGCGGGTGGTAGATGTGGGGCGAGGGGCGGAGAGGCATGGACTGGACAACCGGGCCCCTGGGGGTCCGGGGATTCCAGAACATCTTCACGTGGTGACGTTCCTGTCCCTGCCCGGGATCCGCCCTTAGGGACGAGGAAGCCCGGTTCCCCTTCTCCAGGTGGTCCTTGGTTCGCGTACAACCTGTGTCTCTCCTTTAGTTGTATCCCCAGCGCTTAGCACCGCGCCCGGTATATAGTGGGAGCTTAATAAACACTTTTTGACTTGACTTCTCAAAGGTGGAGTGAGGCTCTGAAAATTGTGGGTGGGGGGCGTCCAGGGACCCTGGGAGTGCGCGCTCTAGCTCCTTGCTTCTCCCCCTCCCTCTCCTTTTCTGTCTCTGCCTGTCTCCCTCTGTCTCTCCCTCACAATCTCTGGCTTCCCTCTCTCTCTTTCTCTCTCTTCCCCCTTCTTTTTTCTCTTCCTCCCCCCTCCATCTCTTCTTTCTTCTCCCTCTCTTTTTCTCTCATTCCTCTGTTCTCCTTCCCTCCCTCCCTCCCCCCTTTCCCTTTTTTCTCTCCTCCCTCTTTTCCTCTCTCTCCCCCTCCCTCTCCTCTCCTCTCCCTCTCCATCTCTTCCTCTCCCTCTTTCTCTCTCTCTCCTCCTTCTCTCATCTCTCCTCTTGCCTCTGCTCTCTCTCCCTCTCCTCTCCCTTCTCTTTTCCTCCTCTCTCCTTTTTATTTTGTCCTCTGGTCTCTCAAGTGTTTTGCCCTCTTCTAATCTCCCTTCTTTTCCCTCCCATATTCTCTCTCTTTTCTGCCCTTTCTTCTCACCCATTTTCCTCTTCTCTCTCCTTTTTTCTTTTTCTCTTTTCTCCTTTCCTCTCTCCCTCTCTTCTCCTTTTTCATCTTTTTTCCTCTCTTCCCTCCCATTTTCCTTCTCTCTAATTTCCTTTATTCTTTATTTCCTATTCTTTCCTTTCATCTCTCCTTCTCTTTCCCTTCTTTCTTTCCCACTCATTTCCAACTTCTTTCTCCTCTCTCTTCTCTGTCTCCTCCTTGATTTCTTCTCTCCCTGCTCCTTCCTTCTCTCTCCCTCTCTCTGTCACACACACACACACACACACACACACACTGCTAGCTCTTGCAGATCCTTTCTCTTGAACAGCTGAGTTGTTTCCCATCTGGATCACCTCCCTAACCAAGTTTTTGTCTTTTTTTCCCCCCAAGGAGATGATAGAAAGTGACATCACAACCATAATGTCAGGAATCCTTAGAAATTCAGGGCAAAATCTGCACCCTTCTCCGCAGGAATACAGGTGAGGGATTGTTTTATTTTTGTTGCAAATTACATGGGAAAAGCCTGGGTTCAGAAATCCTGTGATCTCTACCCCTCCCATGGTGATTGCTTACTGTGGCTAGCCCATGGAGGTAATGCTGGGAGCACTGAAGGAGCTGCAGGTTTGGGGATTCAGCCTCCTAAAGGCATCCTGTTCCTCCCCAAACTGGGCTTTCAGGCTCAGCTGTGAAACTCTCCCCTGTCCTGTGTTCAAGCTGGTCCTGAAGCCTCTGTGTTGGGTTCTATGGAGTCCTCCAGGCTTGGGGCAATTAGAGCATTTCCTGATGTGTTTTAAAAAGCTTTGGGGGACAGGGATGCCCCCAAAGTAGCCCCCAGGGTAGGGGACACAGCACACTTCCCTGCCCCTTCCCTCCAAGGTCTGGGGGCAGCAGAGAACACCCTGTTGTGATTGGGGGGCTAGGGGGCAGGCAGCCCCAGACAACCTTGTTGGGGGTAGCAGGAAGACCCTGCAGTCCAGATGCAAAGGTTCGAACCAGGTCCCAGCTGCTTCCTCCAAGTGTGTGTCCAGCACCAAATCGATCATTGGGAGTGATTAGAGGGCTTTGGGTTCAAATCCCAGCTCAGCTCCTTAGTACATGTATGAGTCCCTCTCTGTGGGCCTCAGTTTTACCCTCAGTTTAAAAAACAAATAAACACGAATGGCCTTGGCTAGATGGTGGCTAAGACCTCTTCCAGTTGGGCATAGAGTTCAGATTGTGCCTCCAGTACTCACTAGCTATGCAATCCTTGGGCAAGTCACTTAACCTCCTCTAGCCTCAGTTTTCTCATCTGGAAAATGGGGATAATCACAGCACCTCCCTTGAGAGGATCAAATGAGATAATGTATATAAAGGGCTTTGGAAACCTTACAGACCGTGTAAATGTTAGCTGCTATTATTATTATAATCCCTTGACTCACTGTTTCCTCTTGTAAAATGGGCATGGTATTTGCACTGCTCATCTGTAGAGAAGGGGCTTTTAAACCTGAAGGCGCCACAGAAATAGGAGTTATTTCCCTCTCTTCCCCTGGGTGGGGAGTGGGGGTTGGGCTGGGGTCTTGGGTGAGAGATCAGACTTCTCCCCTCCCCCACACAGACACCCCTCAGACTTTCCTCTCTCCACCTTCTTAAAGACTTGGCAAAAGGGAAGTTGGTGAAGAGTGTGTGTGTGTGTGTGTTGTGTGTGTGTGTGTACAAATATGTTTTCACAGTAGGGATACAGGGACAGGACCCACCCCATAGACTGACCGTGGAGAACTCGGAAGGGCCCAGCTCATGCTCACTTTATGGAAGCATGCACCTTTGGACCTAAAGGTCATTCAGGTGTCGAATTTAGAGATTACAAGCCCAGAAGAAGGACACAGGTCTTCTTTCTCAAGCCCATTCCCCCTCCAGAAACTGATCAATAATGCCTTGGTCTAATGAAAAGACCCTGGATTTGGAGACAGTGGCCCTGAACTCCCAAGGACTGCCCCTTGCCTGACCTGTATGACCTTAGACAAGTCCCTGACCTGCTCTGGGCTCATCAGACCCTAGGTCCACAGCTGGAAGGGCTCTTGGGTCAGTTCGTCCAACATTCTCATTTGACAGAAGAACCCCAGGCAGAGGGAGGATTTGAAGTGAGAAGGTTTTACTCATTGGGGGTTCTTAACCTGGGGCCTATAAATTTATTTTTTTAAAAATGGATAACTGCATTTCCATATAATTAGCCTCCATTGTGATCCAGAGTATTTTGGCTTATGCAATTAAATGCATGATTCTGAGAGGGGGTCCCTAGACTTCTGCCCAACACCCATGAGGGAGTTGATCTCCAAAGACCCTTCACTGAACCACTCCCACGACCCCCCAAAATACCCCAGCAGATTATGGATGAGAGAGCCAAGGCTGAATTTGGGGGTCTTCCACTGTCTCCTGGAGCTTTGGACCCTAGCAGATGTATCCCCTCTTTACAGATGAGTACACTGAGGCCAGGAATGAGGGAGTGACTGCCTCAAGTCATCCTGGTGGAGCAGAGATGGAGGTTAGGGGTGCCTGGCTCTGCTCATGGGAGCCACAGTGCAGGCCTTCAGACCGAGTGGCTGGAGGGGGCCTCCCCCCTGACCTGGCTCCTCCTCCACCACCTCAGCCCTGGGAAAGCCCCGGGGATTCCTGGCAGAGAAGGTTGCACTGGGTCAGGGGGGACTGCGGCAGGCCTGGGGAGCGCCAAGCGCTGGGGGATGAATGGACTTGTCAGCTCTGATCAGCTCCGTTTACTGTCCTGCTGTCTGCCCCGGTGGGTCCTGCCCCGGGAGGGGGTGGGGGGACCTGGGGCTGCCAGTTAGCAGCAGGAGGAGGCCGATGGGGCCCGGAGGGGGCCTGGGGTCGCTGGAGATTGAGTCCTGTGAATCCCAGCCCCACTCAGCCTGGGCATGGGCCAAGCAGCAGCCATCTCTGCCCCACAGGGGCCTTGGGCCAGAAGCAAAACAAATTAAGGAAGAGCATGGAGGAGAAGGGGATGGTGGAAGGAAGCATAGACCTGAGGAATGTGGGGTGTGTGAAGTCAGGGCAACAGAATTCATTAAGCACCTACTAAGTGCCAGGTGGTGGGGAAGCCCAGAAAGGCCAGAACAGCCCCTGTCCTCCGGAAGTGCACAGTCTAACGGGGAGGGGAGGGGTCTCTGAACACAGACTGTCAGAGCAGCGCAGCCTGGGAGCTTCATCTCAGCATCTCACAGGGGAGGAAATTGAGGCCAGAGGTCCAGGGAAAGGATATGCTCAAGGTCACACAGCAAATTAATGGTGAGCTCAGTGTTAGCTTTGGGTGAGGCTGCTGAAAACTGGCCATCTGCCCCTGCTCAGAGCTCTGAGGATGGAACTCTCCAGGCAGAACCGAGACCCCTCCCCCTTCTGTCTCCGTCTCTCTCTCTCTCTCTCTCTCTCTCTCTCTCTCTCTCTCTCTCTCTCTCTCTCTCTCTCTCTCTCTCTCTCTGTCTCACTCTCTCTCTCTGTGTCTTTCTGTCTGTCTGTCTCTGTGTCTCTCTCTGTCTCTGTCTTTCAATCTCTCTTTTCTCTGTCTGTCTCTCTCCCCCTTCTCAGACGTGTCTGAGTCCCCACTCCCTGCTCGAGGACAGGGAGCAGCTGCAGGGCTGAGAGCTTTCCTAAGCTAGGAGGATCTCCAAGCCCTTTATGAGTGGGATTATTCCTTGATTGCCTCTAGCTTTATGGAAGAGAATCTGCTATTGGCAGAGTCAGTGCCTTATTTCTCTGTCGGCCCATAGTAGGTGCTTAAACAGTCACACTCTCAAAGCTAGAAAAGACCTGGGGACCCCCAACATTTGTCTGGCAGTTTATATACATTCTCTTCATTTATCCTCACAACAGCCTGTATATAGTACAAACCTGATTCGAATAGTTCAGCTTAATAATAATAAGATAATGGCATCAACAGTGTTTTCAGCTAACTCCCTTGGGGAGAAAACTCTCTCCCACCAATGTAGATGGGCACCTGCTGGCTCTGTGTCCTTGGTCAAGTCACTTCACTGCTTTCTGCCTCAGTTTCCTCATCTGTAAAATGGTGATGATTGTAGCCCCTTCCTCCCAGAGTTGTGATGAGGATCACGTGAGTTAATTTATGTAAAGTACTTTGCAAAACTTAGAAATGTTTGCTATTACTAGCTAATATTATTAGCCCATATTTGAGAATAAAACTTGGTAATAATAGCTAACACGTATATAGCGGGTTTTTTTAGGCAATTAGGGTTAAGTGACTTGCCCAGGGTCAGTTAGTGTCTGAGGTCAGATTTGAACTCAGGTCCTTCTGACTTCAGGGCCGGTGCTTCATCCACTGTGCCACCTAGCTGCTCCACGCATATAGCATCTTAAGGCTTTGAAAAGCGCTTTACAAATATGATCTTATTTTATCCTCACAACAACTCCGGGGGGGGGGGCTATTATCATCCCCATTTTACAGATGAGGAAACTGAGACAGGCGGAGATTAAGTAACTCAGAGGTACACAGCTAGTAAGCATGCGAGCGACCTTCCTGACTCCAGGCCTAGTATCCTCTGGGCCCCCTGGAAGTCCTGAAGTTTACAAGCAGTTTCTCAAAGCCAGCCTGTAATGTCTGAAGGGTGTCATTATTCCCGTTTAGCGATGGGGAAACTGAGGCTCAGAGAGGGAGTGAGGTCACACAGCTAGTTGATTCCACAGGAAGCCGCCGCAGTGGCTGGAATGGAGAGAGGCGGTTTGTTTGAGGCCTTGGGGCAGGAGCGGAAGGGCCAGGAGAGGGATCCAGATGCCCGGGAGGCTTGGGAGGCTTGGGAGGCAGGGTTCGTGCCCAGCCCAGCTGCCTGCCTCTAAGGTGACTGAGGTGGCTGTGGGTTCTGGCAATGTGCACCCCACAGGTCTCCAGGCCGGGACCTGGTAACAGACCAGAAGGTGTCCAGAAGGCCATCCCCGGAGGGCTGGCCACAGAACCCCAACAGAGAGGGTGACGGGGAGCGTAGGTTCTGGGAGGTGCCTCTGGGCTTCTCCGGATCAAGGCCCACAGACCAGAAGGGATTCAGAGGGTCTCTCAGGAGCTTGGAGCTGGAAGGGACCTCAGAGGCCATCTGGGCCATTTTACAGGTGGGGAAACGGAGACCCAGAGCGTTTCATTGACTCGACCGAAGACGCAGAGTTGGTGGAGTGGCAGGCCTCAATATGAGGCCCAGTGCTTGGATCCCAGACCCAAGGCCCTTTCTGCTGTGCCGTTTGGGCTCTGTGTTAGAGGTGCCCACCCTGGTAGTATCGTGGATCCTTGCAATATGCCATCCTGGAGTAAGAGGGCCAAGCATTGGCCTCGGAGTCAGAGAGACCTAGGTTCGAATCCAGCCTCTGGTCCTGAATAACTGTGTGACCGCCGCTCTGAACCTCAGTTTCCTCATCTGTAAAATGGGGCTAATGATGCCTCTGGAACCTCTCATAGGCTCTACGTGAAGGATTCACAAGCATTCAGTAAGGG